GTTTTACGTCCAAGTACCTCCTAATGAAGTGGATGAAAAGCTACCCAGATTATTTTACATGCATGAATTATATAAGACAGGCTTATCCGAGTGTGGAAGTTCTTAATTAAAAAAAACAACTTTCATGGATCGTAAAGGGACACTTAATTCCTAGACTTATTAATTTTACATTCTGAATCAATATATATCACCTTAACCGCTTCTGCTATGACGTAAAAAAAGCAATGACGAACAAAAAAACAATACTGAATGCAATGACCTACTAGGTTTTTGCTAGTACCGGGTAATCACTAAAGCATTAACGTTTAACGCATTATCATTTCAGATAAGCAGGGCTAATAACGCTCCTTATGCCATATTTTATAGGAGGTTAATTAAAAATGTAAAATGCTACTTCGCAGTATGCTGATTTCCAGAAATCAATCATTACTACAGACGTTTATCAGGCCAAACTTTCAAGATGGGAATATCAAATCAAGTTCAAGATCTTATTTGCCAGACGGTTTATCAGCATGGTAAAATATATTTAGATTAGTGCTGTTTTCCCCCATTAATATATAGTTTATTACTTTTCTTTTATAACACTGAACAGCGAAAATATTTGGCATGCAGGTGTATTTTCTCCATCTTGGCAAGTTATGGCGATTCTGATAATTTTAAATTTTCAAAATTTTAAAAATTTTAAACCACGGGCCCCATGGGAAAATGAAAATAAGCTTATTTAATGAAGTTTGACGAACTCGATAGCATTATAGCTAGTTATGGAAGCAAAACATAGAGTGAACATGAGGAAAAAGCTAACAGAAAATAAATTTCAAGTATGAATAGGAGTAAAAACAGGTTTCTCAACTCAAATGCCTGGTCGTCCATAGAGTTTATCCTGTTCCTCAAAATATCTTACGTGGAGGCATTTGTTATCTTTCGATTATGAAATATCCCTGATTTTTTTTTTTTGTTTGTTTGTTTTTTTTTTTTTGTTTTTTTGTTTAGGTCATTCAGAGCAATGACAAAATGAAACATAAGTAAAATTAGAAATAATATCAAAATTCAAGAAGAGGTGGGGTTTCTATGATTATGACGTAAAATTATTGTCATCTTCCCAACATTGAACTACCTTATATAACTTAAATTACAGTACCGGTAACTGTTGTGGATATCTGGTAGTGTATTTCTGGTACTTTTTACCAATAAACATAAAGAACGTACTAAAATCTTGGAAATGCTTCCAGCCTAGTATGGACCTATAGTCCACAGTGCATGTTGAAGGGGATATGAGGAAATGGGGAGAAGATATACAGGCAGTTAGGAGCAGTAGGTATGAGAGGTGAAAGGGTTTAGACAAGGGAGAAAGGGAAAGTTCACTCCACCTGCTAGTTTGCAGAGTTTTCTATTTTAATAGGTCGGCTCCGTTGATCCGACAGCTTGATGTACTCGAGACGAATATCAAACTTGTCTAATTTTTTTTTTAATTGACCGAAATTTGAAATTTGATAACACAACATAATATAATCTCGTCGTCATATTCAATCTAGTGTTCTGTTTAGTAACGAGAATATTTACTTCGCATCCGTTAAAAATGTACAATATAAACAATATACAATGTATTGTGTATTAACTTGAAATCCGTTGACGTGTTGATATGAGTCAGAGTCAGCCTCCCCTTTATTTACATGTACTGGTGAATCAGATGTTTTAATGAAATATATACAAAATTTATATTATGCATGCATAAAGGTACAGGACATTAGGAGTACCAATTACAAATACAATCTGTCGTTAGTTGACTAACTTTTTTCAGACAAAACTGTTAGGCTAATATTATCCCCCCCCCCCTGAATTATTTACCCGACCAGGACAATGAGCAAACAGTGGATGCTACCGGTCGGCATGGAATACTTACTCCTCCATGGCACCAGATCCCACCTCTATGTTGGCTCTTTTCATATTTTGTATTGTTCAGTAGACTTCTGAGAATGATCTTCGTTCGTTATCTTGACATTTCACGTAAATATCTAGCTCGCTCATTTAAAGATTTTTTGAATTTGTTTATTATAAAGATTTAACATTGTAATCAATGATTCCTTTTATATATGTATTTAAATGTGAAGAAATGATTTTCCAAAATATCTTATAAAGGCAAAAAAAGGGATCTTGTCATAAGACAGTAATCTGCACGTAAGTGTTTGCTTCTAAAAATATTTTCTTTTGTACCTTGGTAACAAATTAAAAAAATTATTCCATTATTTACATAAATATATACATGCATCAAATTGAGCATATTTAAAAATACTCGTGTGAAGAATGGTTCTATGGGTCTCTTATATATTATTATTATTATATTATTACAATAAATTCATAACCAGTCTGAAACTAAAGAAGCATAAATTCTGTTTTTAAAGAGATTTTGAAAAGAAAGTTTTCGTTTAAAAAAAGTTAACTGTCGGCCCAAATTGACATTCTGGATGAAATGAAAATGAAAACTGTGACCTTTTGTAGATTCAGGACTATGCCAATCATTCAAAAAAAAAATTGGTTTGTCAATTGCATAAAAGGTAAGGGGAGTTATTGGAACCTCTTTTGTAGAAAAACGTCGTTTTTTGACCCCCAATTCGTCCTAGGGTGAAATTAAAATTCGTAAACCTTATTGCATATATACAGAACTTCGCCAATCATTTTCCAAAAGATGATTGTCTGCAGCAAAACATTGAAGAGGAATGCTGAAAACAAGATTTTCGAATATTATTTTTACCACCCAGTTGGTTCCCTAGGTGAAAATGAAAATTCTGAAACTTTATTGCACATCTACAGGATATCATCAACCATGGTACCAATCAGATTCCAAATGATGGACTGGCTACTGTGAATAATATAAGAAATTGTGGGAACCGGATTTTGTAGAAAAACGTTGTTTTGCAATCCCCATTTGGCCCCAAGGGTGAAAATGAAAATTCCGAAACAGTATTGCACATCTACTCAATACAACCATGTATATTCAAAACTACGTAAAATGTTATAGAAGTTCTATGAACCTGGTGTTTCGTAGAGAAATATGTTATTTTACGATTTCCAGTTGGGTGAAATTAAAATTCGGAAAGCTTAATGTACATCTTCAGACCACTCTTGACCAATTATATTCTAAAGATGAATTGGCTGCTACTAAAAATTTAGAGGAGTTTGAGGAAGAAGATAGAATTGCGAACGTGTAGATTTGGATAGTACAAAGAATGGTCTGGAACTGCGTCCGTTGTTTGCAGAACGAACGGGGCGAGAGAATGATGGTTGATGTGCGGACATGAAAACATATAATTACACAATGTTGATATAAGAGATAAACAGTTCTTGAGACATAGCACTTTGTCTCTTTGAAATGACAGATATTAAGTCCGAGAAGTATCACTCGCTAATTAAAAAACTGTAAATCAAGATATTGTGGGAATTAAAGTATGACATAATAAATAATAGTTAGAGTAAATTCCAGAATAGTTTTTTTTTAATGTTGAATTTTACACTTTGATAGAATGATAGAATGACCGACGGGCGAACAAGGATAAAAAGTATATATATATATATATATATATATATATATATATATATATATATATATATATATATATATATATATATATATATATATATATATCCGTAACTTTCTTCAGAAAGCCTAGATTAAATACATTTGTAAGTTTTTTGATCTGTGTTAAATTGGATTTTTTTTTCAAATAATTGTTAAAATACACCAGTATGTGGGTGGGTGGGTGTGGGGGTGGGGGGTGGATGTCATCTGAAGGATCGAGGTTATACTTTTTTAAAAACAGTAACATGTAAATGTCCTTAATATATAATGTAAGATTTTTATTCCAGTCTAAAGACAAAAGTTTCTTAATCTAAGCAGATAAGAGAAGGAACAAAAAAAATTCTGACTGTGAAAACTCAAGAAATGTCTAAAAACGTGTTATTCATACATTATTGAAAATAAAGTCGGTGACTTAAATAATGGACTAGGTTATTTGCAAGCATTGTATATTAAAGAATTGAGGAAACATTACAAATGGTATAATACTACCTCACTACTGTCAAAGGTTACACAAATGCAACTCATCGTTATTATATATTTTTATCTTGAATGTGAGATTACTAACGAGATTTTTTTTATCTGTTTAGAATACAGAATACTTGGATTACGTCAAAATATCATTTGTCACGTTCTTTTATGGAGAGTTAAATACCTGTATAAGATGCAATTTATCATAATAAATCTGTAGAATTTCAAAACTTACTGCTCGGGACGACCAAGGAGGACGGTTAGTGATTTTACTTTTTTTCTTCACTGGTGTGGATTAATTCCTTGTGATTTGGAAAGTTGTAACCGTTCGCGTTCGATTAAGCAAATAATCAAAGAGGGGAATGTATACTATTTCAGAGAAGAGATGTTGGAATGCTTAATGCTTTTAGGCAAAGGACCAGGCGAGAAAAGGGGCTAATTAGACCATTCTATTACATGCTTAAAGAACAGGAAGCACTTTGTGAATTGTCAATTCAATATCACTGAATAGATTGATTACTAACAAAATCTACCACACAGCTGTTTGATATCTTCATCTCGGAAACTCAAGGGAAGGAAGTTATAAACACTTGTGCCATGTACTCAAATAATTCTTTATTTTTCTTCCTCGAGTTAAAGCTGATTTTATGTTCAGTTGTTGATCTGAGTTTCAAATATTTGTATCGCGCTGCGCGTTCTAACCAGTGGTCAGCGGCAATTCTGCGGAACACCGCATCAGCTGTTTCAATGCGCCGCTCTCGCTATATCAAGCACGGTCATTTATCGAATGGGGAATAGTATGTTGGCTGATGAATCGATACATGAATTGTTTACCTACATTAAGGTGACGAGCTGTGGATTATAGTTCTGTTGGAAGTTTGTGACAAAGCAAGGGAATCTAAAGATCATAAAAGCTTCATGTAACACCGGCTTAAAAATTACTCCTCTAATTTATATATTCTGGTTTGTTTCGGTGTTGAATGTGTGATTATCATATGGAAAATTTGGGAAACCACAGAAAATTGTGTTAGAGGACAGGTATGATGTCTGATGACAGGCTCGCCGATCCTTCCCTCCTCTTCTTAGGTACTGTATTAAATATTAAATCTCTCTAGATTAGAAGGTCAGCGATTCTGTGATAAAACTATTATCAAATAGTTCTCAAGTTGAACAGTTCTATATTTATTATGTATACATCCCCCACGTTGTAACCTCTCACCTGCAGTGACGATGATCCATTCTTCGCCAACCAAAAACGCCGAAACATTTCACTGAAGGCGGTATGCCGTGCTATATTGGGATTTCGCATTTTCCAATTTGTGAAATGTAAGCTATGTCAGGTGAATGCGTTTTCTTATTGCAACGTGCAATTACTTGTGTACGCTAATTCGTGGCTGATGGATTATGTGTAAACATTTCATTTGGGTTTTTTCTCACTTTCCGATCAGCACGGGACAATTATTAGGAATTGGACGCTTTTACTCATTCAATTCAAACTCTCATGCATTAAAAAAAAATACGATTGCAAGGTGGAAACTTCTGCTCCTAGCTATTACAGGACGAGCGCTTTAAACACGGAAAATATAAAAGTAATGAAAATATTTACGTACCAGGTTTAATCATTTATATACACAGGACATCTCTATTCATTGAACTGGAAAAGTTATATAGGAAAGCAACAGCGTTCAGTACCGGCAAACTGGATTCGCTCCGCGAAAGCATTACCTCCCGTCTCTTCCCGCGGTCTTCTTCATGTAGGCAAAAACGTTCTAAACGCTCGCCCAAGATGTCGGGAGAAGAGCAAGCGGGGAGAGCCGGTGCAACCGAACGCAACGAGGAGTACGAGAGAATGGAAAAGTGGCTGGATGATCACCCGGAGTTTACCCACGATTATTTTGCCAGGAAGGCCAAAAGAAGCATGGTGGACGGGTGGTTGCTGGCTCAAGCTTTATCTCACAGTCCCGGACTGAACTTCAAACAACCAGAGACCAGCAATTCTAGTGGCTCGAATTCTCGAAATAATTCTGGCACCAACACTCCAGTGCGGAAGATTTCAGCCCAAGAATTTGATCGGGGTGATATCCTAAATCCTATCGTGTCCACAGTGGACGGCGCTCGTACATTTCTCGGACCTTCGACGTCACAAACGTCGGTCACAAATAAACTTCACCGACGCCCAAGAACAGAACTGAAAACTCTAGACGAAAAAGAACTTATGTATGAATTAGTAATTGACATTTGTAATGAACTTGATGTCAACAGCCTGTGTCATAAAATATTACAGAACGTGTGTATTCTCCTAAATGCGGACAGGTGTTCATTGTTTCTGGTTCATGGGCGCGGGGGTGAGGAGCGGTTTTTGGAGGCTAAACTTTTTGACGTTAGTGCCGATACAACATTGGAAGAAGTCTGTGAAAACAGGGAAGCGATAAGAATTCCATGGGGAACAGGAATCATAGGCCATGTGGCACAGACAGGAGAGCTCCTGAACATTCCGGATGCCTACAAGGTAACGAGAAAGAAATCTCGATCGTCTGCGTACAGATTGCTTTTCATGTTTTCCTAGTAATGATTCCAGTATAGACACCCTGTGGGTTGCATATATTAGATTTCATTTTCCCCCTGCAAATCAAAAGTATATCAGGAATTTTTATTTTTTAAAAATATTTTGTGTGTGTGTGTGTGTGTAGAATGGATAATAGTCCCAGATACCGGCGATAATGATACTGTCGATGTACATGCATTTTAATGCAACATAATGAACGGGCACAGCATGAGCTCGATACGACGTAGATGTGTGCAGATACGGAAGATAATTGCCTGTGAAACCGTCTTGATTAATCACTACATAACGTGTCCAGAGCTTAAATATGTTTTAGTGGGACGGAATCTAGACGTCTTAGGTTACGACACGGGGACTCGTCTCGATCTTTTTGTCCGCTAACTTTTTGATCACCCCTGTACCATTAAAAATGTTACAGTATAAAGGGTGGTCAAAAAGTAAGATAAATAGAGCGTAAAGAATACCACTAATTGTTGTGAAAGTAAATAATTTTTAGTAAATTTACATTTAGGTCATGAATTTATCGGGGGAAAAAAACATGTCGTTTGCTTTTATAATATCTGTCTTTTCATAGTGGATCGGTAATCCTGTGAAAACCACGTGCAATCCCTGATTAAGGTAGCTCCAAATAGAAGGTGCATACAACCGAAATATTACGGAAGTTTAAGGTTTAAGTCGGCCATGTCAGTAATTTCCTTTTTACCATTGTGTAAAGTTGCAAAAGAAATTACAGTGGAGCGAGATTGACGTCATGGAGTGAGCGGTTCACTGACGGGGGGAATAAAGCCATTTAACCTTTTCTTGTTATCGAAAAACTTATCACTTCTACACTCCGAAAATCTGATAAGAAAGCTCGATTACAAAATCCAAGGGTAAAACAATAAATATTAGACTTTAGTAGAACTAATTTTACTACGTAAGGTAATACTTAAAACGTAACGTCTTGTCATTGGTACTAGCCATACAAACCCGATAAATCCTTGATTTATTTTGACAAGAATCTGATAATGATCAGTTACTGTTGAAAAGATGACTTTATTTCCAATAAATGAACAAATTAACTAGTCTCAGTGCCTTTCATTTTCAAATTAAATGTTTTTAGGATAGATATACTAAATGATTTAGTATATGATTTTCAGAAAACTTTATAGACAATACCTCAAGTTGAAAAGTTTCCTAAAAATTGCTAGCATATCTTCAAGAATAACTATTTTATGCTATCTAAGGACTTGGTAAAATATTGTGAAATGTGAAGTACAAAATGTTAGAAAATATATAGTGTTAAATTTGCTCTGTTTGAAATGGAGAGACTGAAATTTTTCACCTGTTTAAGGTTTGTTATCTAGTGTGTTTGTCTTGCAAAAGTTCCTCAATGTTTTCTTCAAAAGTTCAGCCTGCCTTTGGTGAATTCCACTGTATTTTATTATTCCAGCAGACTCTAACTAAATACAAGCTGTAAGCAGATGGATTTGATAGATAACTAGTCAGTTGAACCCCATCTGTTTTTTGTGATTGCCTTTTTCACATTTCCAGCAGTGTTATTGTTAACCTATAAACAGAATTCCTCACACATTAGAGTGAAGGGAATCTCTTGTTTGAGGATAAATAGATCTTCTCCCAAAATAATATTGATGGAAATGATGTATGGTAATTCAATTATGTTTTCCACATCTTAAAAGGTCTTTGAATTTATAGAGAAAAGAACAGAAAATGCCAAAGAATAATTTTAAATTCAAAGACTCTTGTAAAGAATGTTCCAGAATGAAAAAATCCTGTTATTTAGCAAATGAAGAAGACAGTAAATTAGTGAAAAATAATTAGATCTTGAAATGCAACAGTCATTATCTTTAATGAGGGATATTGGGTTAAAAATCTTAAAGAACCTAATGCAGCCAAATAACACTATTCACATGTCATTTTATCCATATTAGGGAACACTTTTTGGCAAGAAAAAACAAGGTTGATAGCAATGTGGGTTCCTTGGCCTCATTTTCATGTCATTATAAAGTGTTCATAAAATTTTAAAATGAAAGGTTCTTTTTAGTTGAGAAAATATTAAACGTCAGCTCTTGTTTACATAGTAAATCCGGAGAACTCCTGACCCTCAAACAATCCATTTTGAAGTATATAGGATTTTACTCTGGATATTTGTTTATGGAGATTTCTCACACAGTTGCAGTTGTTTAACTTTTTAAAACCACATTCTAATACACATCTCTGTGAGAGCACACACTTGAAGCCCCTGCTCAATTCTCATTGTATAGCAATTAAACCACTTCTGGATGTGTTTTAAGTCTATATACAGGTAGATAAATACCTTGTCATCATCATGCAGTGAACCTTGTGTATGCTGTGCCATTTTGATTTTTTTTTTTTTTTTTTTTTTTTTTTTTTTTTTAATACATTTTTGTACTTGATGCTGGACTGAAGAATAGAAAGATACATTGATTTCAAATGGTACTTCTTTAATATGAAATGTGGGCCATTGTATGATTTTAAGATGAACAGGGATGAACCATTATATTTTTTTTATTCAATGTCTCATCATAATTTGTACATTTTTGAACTTTATAAAACCTGATCTATAACATAAATAACTCATTCATAATATCTTAAAGGTCTTATTTTTCCATTTGTTTGCATTCATTTCTGAATTTTATTTGAAAGTCTCCCCCAGTCTTTCTGGGTGATAGAATAAACTAATAAACTATGATGCTGGGATGACCTGAAGACATTACAAACAAACAGTTTTAAGGCTTAATTAATACCTGCATCGAACTTTAAAACCCAAACAAAGCTGCAAACTGGCTCACTGTTGTCAACTTTTCCATTTATGTACATTTTTCTCGGATGAATAATTTTTCTCAGTTTTGAATATAATTCTAAGTGATAATTTTTGTGCAAGACACAAATTCTGTATGACAATTTATTTTAAGAATCTACGTTTCTGCAGTAAAAATCGCACCTTGGTGTGTATTTGACTTAGAGCAGTATAGTAAAATACATGTGTCAGATTTTGTAATTATTTTACAGTGCACATTTGCATAAAACTCTTTCCAGAATTAGCATAATGAGTGGTGTCTATGGGTTTAACATTGTTTCATATTTATATTTTATTATGACCTTAGACTGTGAAAACAACATGATCACCTTATACAAATAGGTTTTATAAACATTATCACACTTCCTGAATTTCTGGAAATGATGTTTCTCTCATCAATGTTTTATAAGATCTCAATTGATAATACGATCTTTACATAAAGGAAGTTTACACTTGTTTCTAGACCAATTGGAAAGTGCATGTAGGTAAAATTTAAAATCAAAGAACCTTTTCACTTGAGAAAATTTTTCAATGTCGGCATTTTTTTTTTTCAAATTTATGTCTCACAATAAATGTAAAACAAAGTATACACAAATTAGAAATGTAAATATATGATGTTCTTGCTTTTTTTAAGTTTTTTTTTTTTTTTTAATTTTTTTTTACAGAAACAAAGTTTCATCTAAGATTGTGCACCATGTACTAGCTGTGCAATACAGTTAGTACATAAATATGTCATTTTTGAATTGAAACATTAATATCATAAATGATTAAATACTTCCCTCTTTTAGAGATGTACAGATATATCCAAGGTCTTTCTAACACTTAACAATTCAAATGTCTAAAATGAATGATAATTTTAGAATTTTAATATCTAAGTTCAAATTTATTAATTTCAAAGACTCAGATTGATTTAAATTTGTATTTTGAAATTCATTCAATGTTCAAATTTCTTAACGTTTTATTTTTTTTTCCTTTTTTTTTTTTTTTTTTTAATTTTTACCTTAAATATTTAAAATTCAATTTTCCAAATCAGATTTTTGAATTTTTAAATTTTGAGTTTTGTACTAAAATCAAAATTCTAAAACTCTAAATTATTTTAGAAATTTGAATTGTTAAGTGTTACAGACCATCAAGTACTTCAATAATTTAATTTTGTCTATGTTTTTGTTTGAATCCTCATATTTTGCGCATGGATTTCAAAAAAATTTAAACCAAACATTCGTAACAATTTTTATTTGTGATTCCTGAAATCCATTTTGCAACAATTTTCACGATTGAGGAAACATTCTATATAAAAACACAATTAAACGAATGGTTCACAGTGATAAATACTCACAAATAAAAGAAGGTTGCAAAACTCGCAGATATTTATCGCACACAAATAAAAGTTGGTTTTATGTATCTGGGATGGGAAAATTGCAAAGGACCAACAAAGAGCAGATAACCTAAAATCATTCATTTTATCATATTGAGAATTGCCTAGAAACAGTAATTTAAGCTCAATAATTTTACTGATTTGCAGCAGTAAATTTTTTCATGTAACAAGACCTATCTTTTCAGAACTATAAGGCAGGATTATTTTCACATTACTTATCATGGAAATTTTAACATATCTATTGTGGGAATGTGTTATTAATGTTTAAGCTGGGTGACAACAGCAAGAGTCTGTCATAAAGGAGGATTACTGAACAAGCAACACTATATTTGAAACGAAAATCCTTGGTTGGCAATGAAAAGGCGGCCTCTTTTATTTTGTGACGAGAAAAGAAACGAAGATGCCAGATTAAGTCTGATTTTATGGTCTTTGTCACATTTTGAATTGTTAGGGTGACTATCACTAACTTTCCTGTGAATATGCAATCTTGTCAGACAAAGTGAAAGATAAAAGCTCCCTTTAATACATATTTTATGAAAAATATTGATAGAAATGATTATTGACATTTTTAGGTTAAGTAATTTTTTGAAGATTTTGTCTTGTCGATATCCATTTGATCTTTCAGGTTTTCCTTCATGTTTAATAAAAAAAAAAGTGTTTTCAATGGTAACTTTTTATGTATAATCTTACAAAATACCCAGCCATAAACCTGTCTGATTGAAAAAAGAAAATGAAATTATGTAGAAATGT